AGAATTGAGGACTTAACACAACGGTAATAATTATACATGTTTTTATTTTTTTTATAATTAATAAGTTGTTAGGTTCATAAGGTGTTTTTGAAGGCTAACATAGATTGATTTCAGTTGTTTTTTGAATTTTTTTTTAAAATTAATTTTTTTTAAATTTTATTATTGAAAATTTAATTTATTAAAAATTAATTTTATATTTTTTATCTCTCGCTTTCTTCTCTATATAATTGACAGGTTAACTAGGGTTAACATAAATTTATCTTTTTATCTTTTTATTTTATTTTTCTTGATTTTACTATTAAATATTAGATTGTTTTATAATTAAATATTATAATTTTATTTAGTTTGCTTTTAATGAGGTTACATGGATATCATGATTAAGTTATGAATTTAACATGCTAATCTTGTTGAACTTAGTTTTGTTTTCTTGATTATTTTTTTATTATTAATGTTTTTTTTACATTTATTTCTTGTCATTATATTTTTTTATTTATATTATTTAAATTAATTAAGTTTATTAAACATAATCAAAACATATGATTAAATCATATGACTAAGTTCTTCAATTTTTTTAACCTCTCTTTTTAAATGCTTACATCACCTTGACTCTCTTTTATATTAAAAAAAATTTAGGCAAGATCACAGCACATGCTCTTATCTAGTTGAATAATAGATTTAATAATTCGTTCAATTTATCTTGGATTCCTATTTTATTAGGTTGATTCTATTTTTGATATAAAACTCACATTCTTTTAAAAGTAGATATGGAGACTTTAAACTCGCCCATCTTGATTTAATTTTCATAAATTAATTTTGAAAAACATGGTATTCCGTTCTGACTCCACCCTTCGCTGGCCTGAGCAACAAAATGTTGTCAAACAGCTGGTCGAGGACAATAAAAAACACATACATGCACGGTGCAGTGTGCACGTACACAAGGACAAATATTGATGCTTTCGTAGTACCTTCTTCTCAAAGAAATGACAAGAGCTCAATGACAGAGCATTTTATTTATTTTAATTATAATTATGAGTTTCAGTACAAGATTTATGAATAATAATAATAATAAAAAAAAAAACTCTTTCAATGAGCTCCAAATCTACAATATATATTCTACATGCAGGTCGAAACATATTTTTTTAACGTGCAGAAAACAGTATTTAGGAGTACCTAATGTTATATAAATTAATTTGAAATAATCAAAGTTATAACTTATCAAAATTATAACTCAAATCATGCCGTTAAGGTAACTTTATACAAAATAATATAAAAATTATGAAATATAATTTTTGATTAATTTTATATTAAAAATAAAAAAAATAAAAAAATAATAATGAGGATATCAACAATAAATTCACCTCCTCTTTTAGTTTTTGTTAATAATAATAATAATAATTAATAATGTTACATATCTTGAAGGCCTTTTTTTGTTTTAAAAAAGATATAGATTAAACAATTGGGGAACCTATCAATCTAACATCACAAAAATAGAATATATTAAAGGTATTTTAGGCATAAAAGTGGATTTTTGTAACATTTTCATAAAAATTACTAGGATTTTAATACATTTGAGTATTTTTCATCATACATGAGAAGTAATACTGTGGCTTACTCTAATCTAAATTAGCTATGTATATGTTTATATAATCTCATTAGACATAATCACAATTTTTGTATTTGAAAGACCAAAGCTTTTTTAGTTGTTTGGGACCAAGCAAGTAGAAGGAAAATAAAAAATTGTTTTGTTTATAAATATGTGATTGTAACATATAAAAAAGGAAAAGAGAAATTTTCGAAAAGAGAATTAGTTAAAACAAAAATCACACACACCAAAATATTTTCTCACTTACCAACTTTTACATGCCCATACAATACAAAAAAACTCAATGTTCAGATATATTTTTTGTATTTTGATATTAAAAAAAAAACATCAACATCAACTTGACTTTTATTTCAATTTGTAAACATTTTTTTTTGGAAAAGTTTAATTTACAAACATATTTTCTATAATTTTTGTGACAATCTCTATTTGATTGTACATTTCGAATCAATAAATAAAATATTTTTATTTTATAATAAATGCAATTGATTAATCGTTTTTGAAAAACACAATTATTCAAATATAAAAAAATAAAAATTCAAATAATTTTTTTAGTAAAATACAAATGCACTATCAATAAAAAAACACAAGTTGAGCCATAAAAAGCACCACCTCTACCCATCAGCCAAGTGTATCAGCCCTTCTCCACCAATTTTTCCAGCCATAATAGATCACCCACTAGCAGCCATAACGCAAGACCTTATAGCATCGACACCATCTCCTTGCTTCTGCCATTTCTTTTAAATGGTCGTTTATTTACGCGATTGAGACTGCTTTTAAAATAAATTATATAAATAATATATTTGATAATCATGAAACATGAATTATTATATATGTGGGGAGCTGTTTGGTGAGAAGCAGCTCTCAACTGCTTCTCACGCGGCTGTGTCAAGCCTACATAAATTAATTCATCTTAATCTTAATACTGTTCACTCCAAGTTCACTGTTCACTCTTGAAAAGAAACAGTATCTAGGTAAATAAATTCACCTGGACACTCTTCACTGCTTTAATTTACCTTCATCAAGTAAACAGTGCTATTTACTTGGCAATTTTATAATGAAAAAAATTATGTTTTATTTATTTATTTATGTCTTATTAAAAAAATTAAAAGGGGATTGCTTGATAACGTAACAAAAAATTCAGTTTTAATTGTTATACATTTAAGAAACTATGGAAAATATATAGTTCTTGTTTGGTAAATTTCGTACGTGATGAAATTATATATAATTTAATGGAATAATACAAAATATTTGATACTAATATTATTTATTTCATGATGTAATAATATTAATTAAATCTATAATATTTAATTAAAAATTATTAATATTAATATATATTTTTTAATTATTATCCAACCTCAATTTAAAAAGTATTTTTTAATTAAACATATTAAAATATTTTTTGTTCAATTTCAATTTCAACTACAATTTTAATTAAATATATATTTTTCTAATCCAACATCAATTAAAAATATTTTTTATAAAATATTTTTTTTCAAATTATAACTATAACCAACAGTAATACAAAACACATGATCAAAACCCAGCTGCAAACATCTCCTAATAAACCCTCCTCTCTCTACTGTGACCATCGCCCACGAAGCAACATTGACCTTCTAGGCATCGATTACCAATGTTTCAACCCTTTCTCCTTTAGCCGCCATTCAGCCACCATCATTAACCCATCGCAGATCCCCTTTTCTCCAGCACACAGTCACAACTCCTTTACTAGAACCAAAGAACCACTACCTCAACTGAGAGTGCAATCTCTCCTCTCCATAAGCAGACTCGAAATCGGACTATTGTCCCTTCCTCTTACCGAAATAGTAGCATATCTCATCATAGTCTAACCTTTTCAATTAACCACCACTAGTGCCCACATCGGTGACCATAATGTTAGCTTCTCTCTACCTCAATTGATTTAAAAGAGATAAAGAAATTACATACTTTAATTGTGAAGTCCTTACTGTTTGAAGAAGCTGACAAGACAGTAAAAATCCTTGAAACTATTAAACTTTTATTGCAAGAGTTTAAGAAAGTTAATCCAGATGAGTTACCAAATGAGATACCTTCCATACTTGATATCCAATACTAGATTGACTGGATATCAAGAGCTAGTCTTTTAAATTTGCCACATTATGAAATGAGACCAAACAAGAGGGGAATCTTAAGAGTGAAAATAAAAAAATTGCTAAAGAAAGAATTGATTCAAAAGAGTTTAAATCTATGTGTTGTCGAAAAGATGGTAGTTGGCATCTGTGTGTTGATATTCATGTTATTAATAAAATTATTATGGAATACAGGTTTTTAATTTCATGATTGGATGATATGCTAGATTAATTGTGTAGTACAATAGTTTTTATAAAGATTGACTCGAGATTTAGATTCGATCAGGGGATTGGAGTTGAAGTTGACAAGGAGAGAGTGAGGGAAATTCATGATTGGCACATGCCTAACATAATTAGTAATGTGTGGAGTTCATGAGATTTATTTGGAATTTCAATAACATTGTGGCATTGATCATTGAATGTTTGAAGAAGAGGAAGTTTTAGTAGGGAAAGGAAGAATAACAAAGTTTTACCTTTTAAAGTCTAGTTTCATAACGAGATTTTGGTTCGGTGTTTGAAGGAGTTGTACACTAGAAATGCTGATTTTCAAAAGTTACAAGAGAAGTATTCTAATGATCGAACTAATGAAGATTTCTATATACATGATAGTTGTTTAATGAAAAGTAATCGATTGTGTATTCCTTGAATATCTTTATATGAGAAATTAATTTAAGACTTGTATGGTGGAGGATTAAAAAGTCATAAAGAAAGAGATAAAATAGCTAAGCTGGAATCACAAAACACTAGTTTATACATGCCTTTACCTATAATCCGGGGAGATATTTCCATGGAAGACAATAATTTCCATCTTTGGTGAAGACAAAGCAGTTATGCTACGCAGCCCATCTTCTGGGGTGAGATTTAAAAGACGCATCTTTTGTACTGTTTGCTTTGGATTTAACGTTTATTAACAAGAACGTGATATGCCATTTGCTTAAAAAGCAATACAAGGGACTGCCCCTTCAAATTAATGAGAGTCAAAAAATGTCTTCCCATGCTTGTTCCACTATTCATTCTTGTTTGACACCGAAACCTTGGACTATTGAATTCATAAAGAACCAAGTCGGACCCCAAGTTCCGGGGAAAACAAGGGCTAATTCCTCTTCATGTGAGACATGCGACAAGAAACAATTACTAGAACAGTCCAAAAACCTACAATGAGGCCGGTCCATCTAGTCCTCGAGAGATATAAACAATGTACATCTTAATGCATTCGAATCAACATTCTTCTCCTCTAATTCCTTGTACAGAATTTTTATTGCACTCAGAGAGACTCCTAGCTAGCTAAACTAATGTCCTCAAACGAAGGAAAGGTTGCTGTTGATTTGACCGCTGGAATAGTCGGAAGGTGGAAAGAGACGTATCAATGGATACCGATTTTCGGAGCTTTAGCTACCGTTGCTATGGCATTTTCTGCTGGTGCAAACAATCTCACAGCTCCGGTTGGACTGTCTCCTTCTCTGTTTTCTTTGTTCTATTTTTCTTCAGCAATACGTGTGTGGTAAACAAGTACTCTGTTTACATAGAAAATACTCTAGGAAGCATGTACAACTTATTTCAGGCTCAGGACACAAACTGCATGAGCTTATGTTATTTACTTCAATATTTTGTACAGATTATAAAGTTCATTGAATTTTGAATTTGCAGTTTTCAACACCAGTAGGATCAGGAGCATTGACTCTTTTGAAGGCCTCAATAATCGCTTGCCTAATCTATGTTCCGGGAGCTGCCTTTACAAGCAAAAGCACTGTCGATTCTTTATTTTCTGATGTGTGTAAATGAATATTTGTCCATAAACACGGTCAATAAACACTATGAAATGCTCTTTCTTTCATGAAGTAATATGGCTGTGTCATTGCAGTTTCTCAAAGAAAGTCAACCAGACGCAGGATTTTTGATGTGGAGCCTGGTAGTTGCTCTAATCACGGCAGGTACTCAATGACAGTCAATTTAAACTACTGGTTTACATTTGCTCATTTCACATTTATCAATCTTGATGCCAAGATTATTTATTTAACAAATGAAAATGTTAAAAAGAGAGTTTATGATTTGTAGAGAATCTATAAAAACCACTCTTTAAACCCTATCCAACAATTTTAAGCTTTTGGCTCCCGGATTAAAATTATTCCATGACTCGGTATTAGAACATGAACAATCACGAATTTGAATTCTATCACACTATTTTTTATTATAATTAAAATTAAATAATTAAGTATAAGGTAGTGATAATACTTGAGCATTTTATGTGATTTTGAATGCCAAGCTAACAGCTATATCATTGTACATTTTTTCTCTCGAACTTCTCTATCGGCCTTTGATGATATGGGCAGCGATCTGGCTTGCAGTTGCAACCTATTGGGAGTTACCGGTCTCATCTCAGCAGTCAATACAGAGTGCCCTGTTAGGAACCATCCTTGTCACTGAAGGTTTTGGCTACATACCCTTATGGAACAAGGTAGAAAACATATATTTATAAGTCAAAACGTGGTAAAATATATAACAAATTTGTGTAATTGATGAAATGAAAGAAGTATTTATATTTTTGATCGTTAAATTCCTAATGATCACATACTAAATGACTCTCCAGATCATTTCATTTCCCTCCTTTCTAATCATTTCCTTTTGTGCATACTTGCATTATAGTAGAACCTTTTAATGTAATTTCTGTGGTTTGGCATTCAATTAGACACTTCGATCTTCATTCTTATTCTTCAGCCATAGTTTGATCATGCAGAGTGAAAATCACAATTTTAATGGTGGAGGACTCCTCTGGATATCTCTTGAATGGACAGTAGCTCCATTAATCGCCTGCCTATGCTCCTACATCTTCTTCAAACTCTTGAGGGCGTTTCTTCTTCGATCAGAAGATGCAGAGAAAAGGATTCTCATTTTCCTACCTATCGACTACGGAATATCTACCGGACTACTTTGCCTCTTTGTCATATTTCAGGTGTGCTTTTTTTTTTTTTAAAAAAAAATATAAATTTAACATGATGGACAACAAAAAACTAAGGTTTCTAATTCTCTTCCCTCATCCAGGCAGTCCATCATGTTAAAGAGGACATTTCCTCCTAGGCAGGAGAGGATCCTGTCGTGTTTAGTAGCTGAATAGTAGCAAATTTTTGTCTCAAGTAACACAAGCAGTGTCTAATTAGATAGATAGATGAAGTTTAAACAAATGTCAAACAGGATAGCATGTAACCTTATTTTTTGTTTCTGTTACTTCTGTTTGATTTTCTAAAAGGGTAAGGATAGTTCAATAAGATAATCATGCTTTTGCTTTGTTTTCCATTGAGTTACTTGCATTACTCACTTCATAATGGGATGCAGATCAATGGAAACATTATATTTATCAATACGTGGCTTGCAATAGTTACTGTTTTGGTTGCTACACTGGTTGGAACGATATTGTCATTGGTAAGGAAACATAACCTTAAGTTCTGCTATCCACTGGATGTTCCAATCATTCTTTCTTTTTATTCTTGCCTAGGACTGAATTTAATTTTGCAACAGGTTGTGATAGTTTCCTTGACCATAAAGAAGTCCAATGATATTCCAAATTGTAAGTCCAATAAGAAAAGCAGATCGATCGATCATCAATGCATAGAAATTCAGGATAAAACAAGTTCAATAAAAGATGACGAGAAGAACCACGAAGATATCGAAGAAATGTTGAGGGATTTTATGCAGACGAGAGTTCTTGAGACAGTATATGAAGAGGAAGAGAGGAGTTGGGACTCACCGCTACCGGATAAGATCCATGATTCTCAACAGCAAATTCAAGATTTTCAGCAGACACAATCAGTCACTCAGAAAAGTTCTACAGGTCAATTAACACAATTCAAACAGTTGCTTGAATCTACTCCAAATAGGTTGGTTCAAGCAAGGAACTTCCAGAGGATTGAGAAAAGATCATTAACGTCGGATGCCTCTACATATATCAGAAAATTTGCGGTTTCGATTATACGCCCTGTAGGTCTTCTCTTTATATCCTATCACACACAGTTCTAAATCATTCTTTAGAATGATAGCATATCTTAATAATTTGGTGCTGATGTTAAAGGTTATAGAGTATGACAGACGAACTCTTGTTCGACATGCTTTAGCTGAAAAATATGATGAAATGGAAGATTTCTTCAGCTTCCCACACCTCCTTGCTTCATGTATCTTCGCGTATGTTTACTCTGTCTCTAGATGAAGTAGAAGTTCTCTTTTGCTCACATTCGCGTCATGCCTTCATGTACATCAATACATCAGACCAATCCAAATCTGTTGTTATGCTGCAGGCTTCAATTTTCTATTGAGGTTGCTGCCATTGCAAGCCCATATGCAGCTATCCTTGATGTGTTTGATCATAGAATTAAATATCTACGAAATGGGGAAGATGTTGTAAGTTTAAAACCATAAATATCTCCGTACATACTCCATCCTTTTACGGTAACTTTTCTCTCTACTGGTTTTTGTCTAACTATCTTGCAATGACCATGCACATGGTAACCAGGAGTATGTGCATGTGAAATGGTGGTTTAGAGCAATTAGCGGACTAGTTGCCGCGATGGGATTTTTCCTCTGTGGATGGCGCTTGACTCGATGCCTAGGTGGGAAGCTAACTTACATGAGTAACTCAAGAGGGCTGGCATCACAGCTTTCCTCTGTGACAGCAGTGATGATGGTCACTAGAATGAATCTTCCTGCTTCAAGTATACATGCTTTTGTTGGATCTCTTTTAGGAGTCGGAATGGTCGATGACATTCGGGTAAGGTTTCCTCCTCGTAAATAATGGCATAATCTCTAAAACCAGCATCAAATTCCTTATCAGATTGAAACTGAGCATGGAATTGTCCGAGGCTAAACAGAACATGCGTCATATATATGACATTCTTTTTAAGAAGGATTATGATGGAAATGTTGTATCGTAATGCAGAATGTTAATTGGAAACTTGTGCTCAAGTTCCTAGGTGGATGGATCCTAACAGTGATATTCTCTTGTGGGATTGCTTATGTGATCTTCTCAGCGTCTGTACATTCACCAGGATATGTAGTGCCCTGATGTCGCAGTTTTGTAATCATTAAATTATGTTCAACGTTTAATACAAGCGGGATTAATACTACTCATCCAATTTCCATGTTTGCTCCTTTCAATTGGCGTAAGACTTGTCATGATTGATTGGAATTTATAGTTGTAACCAAACACAGAAATCTTAGCATCCTTCGTGTTGTTAGCACAACTTTCCGACCATACGAGCTTAAGGGTGTTTAAGATAGCGATAAAGATTGATTTAGAAATAAAAAAAATGATTAAAAATAAAAAAATTCAAAAATTAGAGAAATAATGATGCAACCGCTGTGCCAAACAATCCCTTAATATGTAGATGGAAGTCAAATATGAAGATATTTTTTCTTTATCTTGATCTCTTCAAAATATTGAAAAAAAAGCAAAAAATTGGAGATGATTAACGTGAAATTAATGTCCATTATATAAGAGGATTTTGTTTTGCTTTTTTTTTTTTTATTTAAAAAATGAAAGGTATTATTATTAATTGATTATCCAAACTCTATAATTAATCTGTTAATATTATGTTGAGAAAAAAAAAGAAAACCTGAACAACTTATAAGGCTTGCCATAGGAAAAAGCAAGAACTAGTTTTAATAACTTATTAATGTATAAGGCTTTCTATCACAAAGCCTTTTTCTATGACCAGTCCCCAGTGAAAACCTTTTGTTTTTTTTCATGAAATTGAAAAATTTATATTAATAGTAAAAGTAAACGATCCTACAATTACAGAACACCCACACAAAAATATGGAGAAGCAAGCGAAGTTGCTCAATTCCCCACTAAAACAGCACCAAGTTACATAAAAGACAGGAAAATAAAATCCGAAGTTGCTTCTAGTTATGGCTTAAAGGGACGTCCAAATATATGCTCAGTTACTTTTAAACATAGAACAATAGTTTTAATTAGTTGTAAAATATAAAAAGCAATATGCTACGTTTAACTGAACAAATTTGCGTTGATTTTATAACTGGAAGTGTTCTAGACAAGGCACTTTGTGCAGAGCTCCATTAGTGAAGGAGGAAACAACTTTCCCATGGATAAAAAAAAATTATAATTATCATATTCATATTTATTATTATAATTATTTTAATTAATATAGATGTTTGGGTTATTTTGCACGCATCTTGATCAATTTCATAAATTCTGAAATTAACAACCATATAAATTTAAATCTCTAATGATTCTGAGAGAATTCAAACTCGTGATTATTAAGGAACAAACCAAAAACCTAACTAATTAAACTACTCCTTATAGTTCCATATTTATTATTATTATTATTATTAAGAAAAACTAAATCAGCAATTTACTATTTGGTTTATTATTGATATTATTAATGTGGATTCATAAATTATTTTTTTTCTTTTTTTTCCTTGAATTTTTTATTTATTTGATTTTCTCACATTTATTTTTTTAAAAATTGGCATTGATGGTTTGTTCTAATGAGTTTGCTGTAAGATTATTGAAGGCACAAAAAAATCTGTCATTTGACTCGAACTCGGTTTTGTATAATATTGTTTGGATTTTTTATTTTTAGACAAAATAGAACTTAAGGGACTATAATTAACAATTAGAAAAAAAAATAAATCCTGTAAAGGAAGTAAAAAATAAAAAATATATGAAATTCAAGGAGAGAATAGAGAGGAAAATAGAAAAATTGATTGTCGGAGTTGAAGGGAAAGAAACAACCCCACATGCCACCTCTAATGGGAGAGACCACCAACATGCATTCAAAGACACCAAGAAAGACGGCTTTTGAAGGA